TGTGTGTGTGTGCGCGCGTGCTTACCTTGATTAACATTAGGGATGGGTGATACTTTGTTACAATTTCTTAAACGGGCCATAACGTTTCCTGAAGTGTGGCCATCCTCATTTTGAATGTTTGAAAGCTCTAAGGGGCATTTCTCCTCTTTAAGGGTACTTTAAGCCTATAACGTATTATGCCACCCTAAAATGCCTGTTTTATTTCAGATTCCTGAGAGGCCAGCTGATGGTGCGTCTTCCTCAAAATCTGCATCGGACATTTCTCACCTTGTTCGCAAAAAGGTGAGTATCTATCTATCCTAATTTAAGGGGGGGGACTAGCATGTACACTACAACTGGAGTGAATGAGGGTAGTCTGCCCATAAAGGGCCATCTGCATTGCGACCTTCCCTTTAGTTGAGGTCAATTATGCATGCTGGGTCATGAGCTGAATTTGCCAACTAGATTAGGTTTGGTGTTGCTTGGTGCTTCTATGGTGTTTGTGCTTCAATATTGTGGCTTGGCATATTGTAGTTGTGGCGTGGTGTTGAAGTGGTCATGTGTGCTTGAGTAGCATGTAGTTACTAGGTGTTTAGCACAAAAAATAAGTACGTGTTCTGTCCTGCTTTATTCCTGCACAGAGGAAACCAGACGAGGAGAGTCCAAAAAAGGACAGTGATGCTAAAAAGACTAAACAGGAGACCTCAGTTAATGGCAGCGGTGACTCCGCCCACAACGGCAATGGAGTCCAGGAGAAAATGGAGCAGGAGGCGAGTTGATAGACTTGCTGTTTCCTTTAATACAGTCCCTGGGCTCAACAATTAGGACCGTTCGATGGGCCAGCATAAAAGATGCTTGGGACAGTTGACAGTTATCACTGCAGCGTCATTTTCAACACAAGAAGCTGCAAACTAGCTCTGTACATGAGCATTGTTTGGCTCTTCTGTGCGTGTGCACAAGCAAAGCGTGCAAGTTCTCTTTTGCATCTTGTGCAAATATACATCAAATTGCCAGTCTGTTTTGGGAAGTGTTCACGTAAACCGTCAGTTAGGCTTTAACTGGATGTAAACGGTGGGGGGGATCTGATGTGCCAGTATATTTAATCTATACACTGGATCATAAAGTGCCAGCAGCCTAAAATGCCTGCTGTTGTTAATGTTAATCAAACAAAAGGGAAAAGGGAAAGTCACTCACTGCTTTTGACTGAATAACTTTCTGTAGTATCTGGAATATTTGTCATCGGGGCCTAAAATTAACACTCGCCAAGCGCCACTGTGCACGTACAGGACGCCAGACCCCCAAAAAAATGACTAGGGAACCAAATGATGTTCTTTAGTTGCCAAAGAAGCACTTTTGTACATTCTCACAGCTAGACAGTCCATTTAAAGGGATAGTTCACCCAACATGAAAATTCTGTCATCTACTCACCGTCCAAAGATAGTCCAGAAGACTTTCTTTGAAATACAATTGAATATATTTAAAATGAAATCTCAGGAGATTTCTGTCCCTCCATACAAAGAAATTTGACTTTATTCACCCAATGGAAAGTGCAAAATATATAGGGAAAGCAGGGCCTAAAATTAACACTCGCCAAGCGCCAAATGAGAGTAAAAATCAGCATTGGCGAGTATATGTAACGCTGTCAGTCACCAGTTGGCGGGTACAACTTTTACGAATTATAATGCAATGAAGTGAAAATAACAGCCAGTTTTTAAAGAGATTCGCTGTTTTTGACAAGTGAATAAAATAATATCGTGATTAAGATGTTCTGTCATAAGTGACAAGAGCGAATAAAATAATCGAATACAAACGGACTGATAAGGTCAGAGCAGTGTGGTGGCCAGCTTGCCCCTAGACACGGTTCTAATAACTTTTACCTGAGAAGATATTACGGCTTCATTTTAGAAGATTAACTTTTCCCTTTATTCTTCATAACCCGAGAATGCGGCGACACCTGGGGTTACGCCGCCTAAACGGTGCAGTGAAGTATAGTTTGAAAAGCTGCGCATTCGGCTGTACATGTACCCTGAGCCGCTTCAGACAGCTCACCAGTAGCGCTTCAACACGAAAACACACAATTATGTGAAAATGCACTGTTTTGGTGAGTTACCTTGTAAACTTAGACTTAAATGACCGTAAAGAGTTGGGAGAAAATCGGATGCGTGTCAGATCCGCGTCATATGCATCAGGTTTTAAAGTGAAACCTGCTGAAGTCTGTCATTGATGTAAATCAAAGAACAAAAGAAAAATAAATCCTTGGACCGTTCTAGTCGCTGATTAACTTTTATAGCTTGAATAAAGATTAATATGTATAGTTTATGCATGTATAATATAGTTTAAGATTGGTTTAAAATTACTTAAATTAAAAGTTATATATTTCAGAGCCTATTAAATGTTAAAAATAAGGGCTTTCAATTATACTGTAATGTTGAATGGCTGTAATTAATGGGTAAAATTGAGGGAAAATGCACCAGCAGGACAAAAACATTGTAAATATGTTTAGTTATTGTAGTAGTAATAACTGCCTGTATTTGCAAAAAGTTTCATGGCCAGTAAAAATTTTGGCCGGTAAATTTTATCATGTCACCAGCCATTGGCAGGTGTGGCAAAAAGTTAGTTTTAGGCCCTGTTTGTCATAGAGTGAAGATTGTTTTATTTGACATTGATTTGATCTGTCGTAGCCCATTTCTTTGAATGAATACTACTGTTAGACCTATCTGAAACTTAAAGCACTGGTCAATTTAATTGTATTTTCTTTTATTTATCTGAACTTTAATTTTAAACAGACTAATTTCTTTAATGTTTGATTAGTCTAGTGTTAGTTTTTGTGATTTATTGAGATTGGAATTGAGAATTGTGAGGTTCATTGGATTCTAAAATATTGGAGGTGTAACCTTGTTTGAATAAAAGGTTCAAAAACTAAACTTGAGAGGACTGATTCGGCTGGATGTGTTTTTACACATACTAGCAAAATCCTGTCTGGAGGAAGTTTGCTTTATCTGAATATTGGTTGACTGGCTGAGCTAATGGAATTGGTTGGAGTATTGCATCTGGAGTTTTGTCAAGCATTAGTTTAGTGCTTAGCCTTTTAAACTATTTGTTTCATTGTGGTTTGTGTTTTAATATTTTCATTTTTCTCTTGCAGCCAGCCAGTTCTTCCTCTGTGGAGATGTCAGCATGATGGGCATCTTTTGATTAAACGCTTGCCTTCCAACCAGCAGAGCATGCCTGCCTCATCTACTCCCCATGAACAACTTTTGTCTCTTTGTTTTGTAAATAACCCATTTTCTTTGTCTGTCCAATTTTTGTATAATTGTAGTAAACTTTCAATAAAGGATATTTGCATATGTGAATGTGGCGTTCAATATTTCCTTCTTTTTTTTTTTGTTGTTTGTTTTAAGAATGCTCTGCTTCAAATAGACCGCTCCAGTGGAATCATGGAAATTCAATGGGCCAAAACTTGTGGATTCCCATGATGGGTTAATAATGGCTATAATATTAGTTGTAAGATGTTACAAGTATTTTTGATTTGGTGTGACAATTATAAAGCGTTAATAAACTTGTTGCCAAAAAAAAAAACTTGTATGCAATGTAATTTATTAATATCTTAAAATAGTAAATAACATGTAAGACAACAAATGTAGTCATTTGAAAAAAAAAAAAAATTTACTACAAAGGCTTTATTTGCATGGTAATCTAATTAGTTAAATTATGCAATTTTCTTCTAACTTTTTTTCCACATGATGTGTCTGTGGCAGTGATGAAGGTAATGGATGGGATGAGGGTTGCAATGTATTGCGTTGTTCTTGGTTTGCCAGGATTGTGTTTGAGACCACCTAAATGAGACCAATTCAATGCTGTAAGCTTATCAAAAGCTTTGCAAACTTTGCTATTAAAAAGCCTCTTAAGGTTGATATCTTTAAATATTTTGCATACCGTGGATATGTACTTGTATTGGTTGGTGTTGTTGGGGTCAATCTTTTCAAGGGTCTGTACATCACCATCACAAGCATTTGCTACACTAAGACAAAGTTCCATGTTACCCATCTTAGAAAGAAAAATAGTATTTAGTCAGATTGAATTAAATTATAACTCCTATAGCACATTTAACCTAGTTGAGACTTTTAGCTTAGTATTTGATGAACGTACTTGTGGCACAGAATTCAGTTGACCTGGATTTAAGGATGCTTGAACTGGGAGAGAGCGGAAGGGAAGCCTCCAGTGACCACTGTGAACCTGGTTGTGCTGGTCAAAGAGATCAAGCTTAGCCCAGCCACAAGTCACCAAGCCCTCAGTTTCATGGTTGAACAAATCCAGAACTTTAGAAGTCTGTATCTCTATGACCAAAGAGAGATCTGGAGATGGCTGTACTCTGAAATAAAGCACAAATTCAATTACGTGAACACATATCAGCTCTGTGTGTCCATATCTATCTCTGAACAAACTACCTTGGCACAGGTTGCTTAACAGCCAGTATGGCATAATTTCCAGGACTCTTGGTGGACAGTAATGGTCCTGCAGGCTGGCACTGCACAGGTGGCATCGGGGTGGTTTGTCCCAACTTCTGTCCATTAAAATATAACCCTGGCAATAAACGCACTGATCTCAAAGCATCTTCAACACCCATCACCAGGTCATAGAAGATCACAAGGCCAGCCCTGTACACACACATTCAGACAACAGCTGAACTTGAGTCATATTGTCATGTATTTACAGTGCACAGCATAAATGAGTACACCCCCTCTGAATAAATATAAAAGATGTATTTTCTTAATGATCACTAATATAATTCATGGAAAGATGGCAAAATTTAAACATATTAAACATATACTTAATAAAAACAACAAAATATATGCTAATATTTTCTGTAAGATAAGTAAATTAGCCAATTTTGTTTAAATGAAGGATTGCAGAAATGAGTACACCCTAGATTTAATTCAGAACATGTATAATATTCTAGTACTTAGTATGTCCTCCAGAACTTAAAGTATACTGCTCTGACCCTTCTTGGCACTGAGTGTACAAGTTCATGACAAATTTTGTAAAATACATGTCTACTGAAGGATTTTCACCTTGGGAGAATGAATATATTCATTGTCAATGCTGAAAAACCTTCAGCACTCATACATCCCTATATAAAAGCTTTACTACCACTGAACATCACTGTGGGTACCAAGCACCTCTCTCTGTACTCCTCCTCTAGCAACACCAGAATGCAGAATGCACCAGAATGCAGAATTTTGGATGCTGTTAGATCCGAAATGATTGACTTGGTCTCTTGAGTCCAGAGTATGAATTCCCAGAAGTCTCTGTTTTGTAAATATGGGCCCTGGAAGAGGTTAAATGAGTTTACTGTGCTTTGGCTACAGTAGGTAATTCAAGTGGTGACAACAACCATGCATGTCACTTCTGCATGCTGCATCTTACTCTGTGAGATAAAGTGTCACTCTTTTCACAGCT